GAAAATATTGTATTGACACCATTGTATAAAACTATTAGACAAATTACAACAGCAAAATTTAAGGACATAATTGACCTATTACGATACATACCACCAGAACATCATGATTTCTTCAAATCACTTTCACACGCACAAAATGTAGACGAATAGTAAATTGTTTTGTAATAAATTTATGTTTGTAATTTTCTATGTTCTGTAATTAAAAAATGTTTTAAATCGCATAAATTATGTTTCCGAAGTGTTTTCAAGATATGTAAAACAAATTCAGTATTGTTTTTTTCAATTTGAAACATCTTAAATTATGTTGAATGGACTTGGGCACCTTCAAATTTTATAATGAATCTGGCTGTTAATTTTGAAAGTGGCCCAACTCCATTCTTGATAAGAAAACGCACGTTATTTACTTAATAATTGCCACTATTTTAACAGGAACTTTAAATTTAACATCCTTAGATACGCTTAAGCAGTATGACTCATTAGTATCCTATACGTATATTTTTAAATTCATTGAAACGCAAAACTTTAAATATCTCGATTTGAAGATAAATGGAGTTAGGCCACTTTCAAAATAAGCGGCTCATATAAATAATCGTAAATTAAAAAATTAGTGACCCGTTATTTTGACGGGTTCCGCAAATCTAGTGTTAATGACATGTTACACATCATCTCCCGTAGATACGCTGAAGTCAAATCCGGTCGCAAATTTTATCTGCCACTTCAAAATTTGGAAAAAATATCGATTTGAGCGAATAGGATTAAGCGATGGGATGAAAGAAAGACGTAGATTGAAATATATCGTGCCTTTTGTAATAATTTTCACGAGAAACGTGAGGAAGATAAACATGAAATACGTAAGCACTTCATTGTTTTATCATTCATTAGTAGACTGCGGATCTTTGTGCAAAATGAAAATTGTCTGCAAGAAACGTAAGTCTGATAAAAATGTCTTCAAATGTCTGCGAATTTGTCTAACGCCTCCGCAGTTTAGGTCTTCGATCTAGTCGTACTCGTCAAAGCTCCATAAAATCCGCAGTCTATTCATTAGATTGTCGAGCATTTTTATTCATTTGTCGAGCAGTCTATTCATTGGATTAAGAAACGCGTGTGTACGCCTTTCGTTTCGACCGCAATTGCGACGACGCGTCACGCTACAACGTGAAAAAAACGCATGTGCGCAGATCGAACCGTTTCCCAAGTTACGCGCTCGCTTGTCGAAATCTTGGCGGGAGCCGAACGATTTGCGTGAATTGCACAATCGCCTGCCACGCCTGGACACGGCGGTCGTTGTTGGCGGACAATTGTACACGCGAATCGAAGATTAACCGTGACTTTTTCACGGTATCGAGGAACAACCGTGTCACGGAGATAATAACCACGATCCATAGAAAAGTAAGCAAACGAATCGTAATGGACATTTCTGGGAAGCGATCGAAGGGTACGCTCGTAGGTTGCTCAATAGACGTGTTCCTTCCGAGAAGGCGTTTCTTGGGTTAGTATTTAGACGGCCTTCAGTGCTTAGACGGCCTTGTCGTAATCGGACAGGACCTTCCTGCAAATAAGCTGTTCCGTGCCCGCTGTTGGTACGGATAACAGGAATAGGGTAAGCAGATTAGACGGAGCGTTCGTTATTAAAACAGCTTTATTGTAGAATTACCTAAAGGACTAATACTCTTACACGATACTCGAATACCGATTCTCGAAAAATATCAAAGTACACGCTGCCACGAGATTTCAACGGGAACCGCGCAGCCTCGTCGTCTCTTCTCGACGCTGACTCATCGAATTCATCAAACTATTCAGAAATTACTTGTCTAATCTACGCGCTACACTATAAGGATACAACAAGCTTGAATCAGTTTCGTTCTTCTTCTTTTTTTTCGTTCTCTTTTCGTGACAGTAACGAACGATCGCGCGAACCCTTTACAAACTCTCGAATCGATGCGACTGTCTTCGATCGTTTCGCCGGCGGAGCCTCTTCGCATTGTCCCACTGGCGAGCGAATGTTGCCAGATTACCGTTTTATTGCTATTACGGTTTCTCGATTGTTTGGACAGGACGGCGACCACCGGGCGAAGAAAATCGACCGACGAAAGCCGGAACGATGCGGGAAGGCTCTCGCCGTCGACCGTCCTTGAAAGAACAGACCAGAGGAAATATCTTACCTAGACCAGCCACCACCTCGGGTCTCTTCTCCCGAACGATAGACCGTCATTTCGTATGTTTGTCGAAGTCGATTGTGTCGAGAACCTTCGTCGAGGCTCGTTCGATCGTAAAGGGCCAGCGCAATTCGATTGGTCGGCAGGAACACGAATTGATTTAAGGACGCCGCTGCGTTTTCTCGGTGGACGGCACTCCGATGAGACGAATGGAAGACCGTAACGCTGTCGGAAGTTCATCCGACGTGTGAAGGATGGAGGTGAAGATGCCGCGGAAATATCGTTCTTAACCCTTTGCAGTCCGCGGAATGCTTAATGATCCGAAAGATTGATCAGAATCAGTCGAAGAACTATTCAGCGTGTTTCCGATGTCGTGATTTAGCAAGACGTTTACGGTGCTTGTAGGAAGCGGCATTCTTTTCGTAGCTTCTGTCTCTCCACTTTGCGGCACGATCAATTATGAGACAGTAACGAGTCGTCGGCCAATGAAGACGAAGGCAAAGTATCTAGTGCCACCGATTGAGAACGTTTTGCTAGATTACAACACCGAACTGAGATTGTACTTCCACCGGTTCCAGTTGCAACAAATGTATCATAGATCGATCGAACTTCTAATTGTTCTAGCTATTATCTATTTTTCGAAAGAAGACGCTTCGAGTTCGTTTTTGCTGTTCACTCCGCTCTTGTTGCGTCAAGCTTGCAATAGGGGAGAAAAGCCGGCGGCTGCAGTGACACTTCAGCTGTCTTCTTTCGAGAAACAAACTCTTACCGAATGTTAAGTGCAGATCGACGTAGGACCACAAAGAGTTAAGTATATCGAATGAAGGGCACAACTCGTTGATTCGATCGTACGGCCGATCTCAACCCGATCTCAAAGGCTCGATGGGATTTATTCCTCGGTGGTTGCTGGGCGCTTCTTTTTTCTGGACACAGAAAGACAAAGCATTGAAAACATTGAGAAAGTGATGTAAGAGAAAATAGCTACACTTTTGGACAATTTAAGTATACAAGAAAAATCAATTAAAAATCAGGATATCGCTGTTTCTCTCATTATCCCATTATAAAGTTACGATTGTACAGTACAGTTATAATCACATTATAGAGAGAAATATTTGTCTTTACGCTGGACCTGAAATCTATATCTTTCTCATTGTTCTACTACATATTTAATTTGCATCACCTTTTTGTGTGAAAGTGAGAAACAACAAGAAAAGAATATGCTTTACTGTAATCGTTAACTGAATAAACAATATATGTAGAAATAATAATATTTTAACTATACAGTGGAATATGTATTTGAGAATATTTAATTAGCCTCCAAACAATTCCTATGTAATGCTATTTATTGCAGAAGCACTATATATATTATTTAGAACTAACTCTTTTTCACAACGAGTGGAAGATATCATTTTTTTTCATGACCCTCGTATCATATTCATAGTGGAAATACACTCGTTCTTCTGGATACCGTAAAACGTTTCATTGTTTTCTGTTTGTATTGTATTCTATTTCTATTGTACTTTTTAAAGTATGACATTTTAAATGAAACATAAGTTAATTTAAAGAGAACGTGTTCACTGTTGTTCTAGTATTCATCATGCAACTATTTCTACAAGATATACGAAAAGATGTAAGACATATCTATTTGTGTAGCACAAAACTACTATATAGTTTTTCTTTTTATACTAACAATAAGTATTGGATCACACTTTACACTTTTCCAAATGGAATAAGATGCGTCAGTAGAAGAAAACTGATGAAGAAAGCAAAGAAAAACGCCGCATATTACAGTTTCAAAACATTTAAGTTTATGCATTAATTGAACTGTAGAATACAGGATTTACGTATTTGTGAAAAACAAATCATGGAAGCAAGTTCGTTCAAAGTAAATAACAATAGACTGAAAAAAAATAATGCTATTTGAAGCATTGCCAATACGAAGAATTAGTGATCAGAACTTAAAGCGAACATTCGTTCTTACAACCAGATATGCAGGATGTTCCGAGCTACTTTCCGAATCGTCAGCCAATTAGAACAAAGTAATTTCTATCTTCGCCATCGTCTGCTTTTCAAACAGGTGTTCATCACTGTAGTGATCAAAGCTTTATAAGACAATATCTCGAGAGTGAAAACATGTGGCATGCGGTGTTCTTCCTTGCAACCGCCTAACAAAACCAAATAACAAAAAAGTGTAAAAAGTGGAGCTGTTCCCTATTGTTACACAACTTTGAAAAATATTTTAGCGCTTTCCAGCGCTTAATTAGTGATTTTTATAGCGACTTACCCGTTAGGAGATCCTCCGTATGCAGTGGCGACCGAACTGGCGACTCCTCCTTTACCAGTGGAGTAACTGTTAGCAATCGCAGTCACGGATCCCGGAGGAGACCCGGGGGATCCAGATCGCGTGGACCCGCCGGGGAAGCTGAACACCATCGGGAAGTAGTTGTTCAAATTCGGGTAGTTCTGTCGACGACGGTTGCCCTTGAAGGGCACGAAGGGAACGGACACATCTTCTTCGTCATCCTCTTCGTCTTCCTCGTCGTCGTCTTCGACTACTACCGGAGGCTTCTTGGGTTTCTTAACACGGTGCACCTTGGGCCTCGCGGGAGCTTCGGAAGTAGGATTAACGGGTTCGTTGACTGGACTGACCGGTGTTGCTTCGGTGGTGAACGCTGGTGAGGACTCAGGCTGCGGTTGCTCCTAGATGCCGGTGAAAAATCATGGTAGAGCGACTTGTCCAATGAGTTGTCATTTATACTGCATATTGTTAACGCTTTGACTTCAACAACCTCGACAATTTCATTGGATTAAAGTACTTTATTACATCGAATTCAAATTGATAAATTAAATTGTATGGCATAAATTGCCTACTTTCTCAACATTTCTACGTTTTCGGATGCTAATCAAACGATTGGCGCCAAATAGATTGGCGTAAGACGAATTTTTCAAATCAGAACAAATAATTCGATCACACATGTATAAGTGACGGGGCAGTCGAAGTGTTAAAATGATCATCTACAAAACGTGATTTCATCCCCTGAATGATATTATCGTAAGCGAGCTGTTTTACTATTAAATTTTATTAATATTATTAAATCTGAGAACTGTAGATTTCCTTAAAAGTGAAGTTAACTGTTAAGTTAATCAGTTAACAGCTGATTTTGTAAAAAAATCGAATGAGTGAACAAAGATGTTTTTCATTGAATGAACAGCACTCATCGATCCCCAGGGGCTATTTTTAATTTCTTTCTTTGCATGTTAAACAATGTTCCTAGTTCGTAATATAAAATTATATAAAATTTTAGTCCTCAAATATAACCTTTTATTTTCTCAGATATTACTTGAGACTGCACCCTAGTTTCATTCAAAATATTTGCTCGGATCAGCAAGTACATCTTTTTCAGCTCTGAACGACCGATTTAAAATTCTGGGAAGATATCCCGAACGGAGCTAGTTTGCAACTATATTTTCGCTTTTATTTCGTCTAAATATCTTCAGTAATAACTGAGAACATAAAAGGGTCCAAGCTTTCACTTTTTAACCCCGCATTAATTCTACAAAATTTTATTATTTAGCAGGTATGTTGCTACGACCTTTTCCCACGAGATACCATTACATATGACACGTGATCGACCATCCTATAGATTTGATGCCATGATCGGTACCTGAGGAGGAAGAATTCCTTGCTGATGACGATCTTGATCCTCTTCCACAGGGTACTCCTCTTGCGAAGGATGCTGTTCCGGTTGAGGATAGTGTTCGTCCTGACGGTGATGTCCTTCGGGCTGGTATTGATCCTCTTGCTGCGCCGGGGTTTGCTCCTCCTCGTTGTAGGACTCTTCGGGGTCAGCAGGCGCCGCTTGGGCCTCTGCGCTCGAGACTTCCGATTCCTCGATCGGTTCCGGGCCATTGTTCAAGTGCGGTGCTTGCATTCCGCCGATAAATGCCTCGCCGCTGACAGCGTTGCCCTGCGCGAACACTCCTGTCGCTTGGCTGCCAGGATTCGATCGTCGCACTGGCCTGTAGTATCCGCTGAACATCATTGCCCTCTGAGGAAAAGGCTGCACGGGCGTCCTTTTCTCTCGCAGGAAGACTATAGGGTTGCCATAAGGATCCAGCATCACTGAAACTTTAAAGACGAGCGGTGTTCATCGTCTTTGTAGGCGACGCGAGAGTCGTTGAACTAGTTACTTTAACCCTTCGAAAAGTTGTCTATTATGCCAGAACTTGCTACGACATTGCATATAGCAGCATTCGAAGGTTCTGTGCCAGATTGTTTTCGAATTTTGTTTTCGAAGAGCGAGACTTCGTCAGACTCTCGATTAATCCGTTCTCTAACATCAGAATTGTCTATTCGTCTCAGTGATTTACTGTACAAATTAATAAAGATGAAATTTGTCGTTATAACTAACAAAAGTAAGAATTCTATGATCCAAACATATCTATGACACTTTGCTTATCCCTGATAATCGAGGTTCCACTGCATAAAGACTATTTTTAATTTTCAATCTTAAAGTAACGATGTAAATCACTTTTCTCGAACACTTGAAGGAGGTGACGTATTAATGACATTTTGATTAGGTTGTTTAGAAATGATCGCATTATGAGGACCGTAAACATGTGTTATTTGCGAAGACTCTAGATGGAGCACCGTAATAATAAACAAAATGACTAGATTTTGATACACTCAAATTTCTAAAGATGCTCAAGAAATTGTTAAAAATACATCTACCTTTTGTAGAAGTTGATAAATGCGTGTTTGCACAGTGCGATATAGATGAAATCTCTGAAGATAAACCCTTTGCGCTTGAAAGTATTTTTTTCTGTTTATATCAGAATTTATATGTAATTATGCGACCTAATTAGAACTGTTGAGAAATACTACAATTGTTCTCACATACCAGACAATTATGGCATTATTGAACATAACGTGAATCAGTAAAGTATTAATGCTATAATAATAACTATTACAACTATTACAATTAATATAACTATGCAACTACAAATTAATACGACTATTAATACAAATATCGAATCTGAGGCATTTCAGATTCTCGAAAGAGACGCGTTCATCACTTCGATTTGAAAAAGTTCCCAAATTTCTTGACTGGCTCGTCGCGCATCGAAAATTTGATCGTCTACGATCGAATTTCACTAATCCGACATCCAGTAGTTCGACAAACCCGATAACCCGTTGCCTTATCTTTCGTCACTTGTTTTCACTTAGAAACGTGAAGTCGACAACTTGTTCCATCTATGATCCTAATATTATACTTACCGGGTTCAGCAGGAATAACTCTGGACTCCGTGACCGCGATCGTCGCCGCGACGACGAGGAGGACGAAGCTGATCCATTGCGCCATCCTCAATGATCGAACCTCTAACGGTTAGGCTGGTAACGTCGAACAACCGATCTTCGTTCGTCGAGATCTCTCGAGACACTTATTTTTCCTTGCCGATGAATCGTTGGTCCCGGAAGCCGATGATGAGTCCTGCAGATATCCAAGCACTACTGCGAAGGTCTACCTGGCTCGCGAACTTTTTGCTAGATGATGCTATACTCGAACCCGCAATTGCTTTTATACCAGAAGCTAGGCGAGCTCGCGGGGGATGGGATGGGCGAACGAGGACGCACAAGGCATGGGGACGGGATCGGTTGGATCCACGCGCGGAACGGGGATACGGGATCTTCTGGATCCCCCACCATGGATCGTCAGGTGGTTGCCTCGTACCCAACAGGATCGTCGTTGACGCGAATGCGCGCATCGATCAATGATACGTGATTGTCATCCCCAATCGGCCAGCCGTCGAATCGAACACATTAATTGCGATGCCGTCGGTCCTCGTCGATCTCCGCTCGAACCCGATTGATCGTGTTACACGATGTTTCGACCCAATAATGCTCGACAGTGTTCCGTGAATCGTTTGCTCCCGATGATCGCGAATTTCGACGTTTTTGGTCTTACGCAGTTTCCGACGCTTAGAATCTCAGAAAAAACAAGTTATTATTATTATTATTATTATTATTATTATTATTATTATTATTATTATTATTATTATTATTATTATCGAGTTGCTTCGAATAAATATTTACCTAAGATAATTATATATATAAGATATAATTATCTTGGATAGATTTCCGAACTATCCATTAAACCCTTTCGGATTACGGATAAGACATAAAGACTAACGAACAAAATTTTATTCAACGCTATCTAATAAATATCTAATCGAATAAAAATTGATCCAGATAAAAATTTATACGAATAAGATTTTGTAGAATCGTTCGAATAAATAATAATTTATGACGAACAATGAATAACTGTTATCCTGCCAATTTATTCGTATCAATTTTTGTTCGATTAGATATTTATTCGATAGCGTTGAATAAAATTTTATTCGTTAGTTCTTATGTCTTATCAGTCATCCAAAAGTGTTTAACGGATGTTCCGGAAATTTTTCCAAATATTATTGATACATACGTAGAGAATGATTAAATAAAAGTTATTACTTCAAAAAGAGGAATAACTTTGACGTACCATCATTTTATTATTCTTTATTACTTTTCAATTAATGTTGTACCACATTTGAGGTTCCGTGACATGTTCCATGCTCCTTGACTAGACGCGTTCGTGTTTACTAAAAACGCAAAGCAATAAATCCGCCTGTGTAGCCTGACTTAAATATTAATTCGGCCACAGCTAAAAATAACATTTATGCGGATCACATCTCCAAAATAGCGGGTTTCGGTCGGCCGTATCATAAACTTCACTGCGCGACATTCTAAGAATCCATGTATTTGCGACATAATACGTGTTATTCAATGGAAGAGTACGAAAGAGTAGTACGATTATGGTTCGTTGCCTTTAGTTGAAAGTACCGAGGGAAATGAGTAACTTATAATTAAGATATGCCTACGTTGTTTGGGGTGTAAAATACTATATTAATATAATTCAATATACACAACGTAATTTTTTCTCTTTGGGCTCTATTAGTTTATAATCACTATACAAGGTCCGGAATTCGCAGTACAATCGAGCCGAGGGTGATTCTACGCGAAAAAATAAGAAACAAATTTGATACAACATTATTTTATCCGTTTTTAACCAGTTAAGCGCGTTTGTCGTGTATACACGTCAAACCAAATCTCTATTACGGTGCGTTCGGCGTGTTTACTCGTCGTTAAAAACATAAAATTACCATCGACTATGAAAACTCGAAATTTTAATAAAATACAATAAGGATATTATTTGGTGGGATGTTTCCTTTATATTACCAATAGAACTGCTAAGTATTCTATATGGAGGGGGTGGTAGAAGATGAACCGTCTGTTCGCGAAAAATAGAATCCGTAAGGAGTCAAGATACTGGTGTAAGACCTGCGAAATGCCACTTTGTGTGGTACCGTGTTTCGAGAAATATCACACCGAACTCAATTGAAATTCTTAATATTTTTTTTCCACATGTGTCTTTCTTGTTTATGTATTTTATTATTATTTGAGAATTTTTAAGTTTATAATAACGATAACTTTTCAGAAATTAATTGTTAAGTTATTCTTAAATAAAAATGTAGTTCTTCTTAGTTTTTCATAAAATTTGTAATAGGACCATTTTGTGATGGGTTTTTAAGACTAAATTCGCCGCTTAACAGGTTAAGAAAATCGTCTTTAACCCTTTCGCGCCGAGCGCCGCATATATGCGGCATCCACTCGACGACCTGTGGGTACGAGCGCCGCATATATGCGGCATCGAAATGAAGTGTACACAGAAGACGCGGATGTGTAATTTGTAGCAAAAATGATAAAAGAACGGATTCGCGGTACGAGTGCAAAGATTGCGACGTTGGCCTTTTTAAATTAAAAATGTAAATATACTTGTCACATCGGAGCAACGATTGTTTTATTCGGCACAGTTATTATTCAAGACTTGGAACAACATATATACAGAAACCACGCGCGCCGTGCATATTTCCGGAGCGAGTTTCCGTTCGGTGACGGTGCTTCGGCGGATGGAGCTGCCGTAGCGAAAGGGTTAAAGTTTGTTCATCTTTGTAGAGGATTAGTTGTCGTCTATTCTTCTACCGCAGTTGCCTCCGTCCGAGACAGTATTTACAAACATTAATTGCTGTGAACTATTATATGTAAGCACTGTCCGTTGCTCAAAGGAAATCGGTTGTTTCGGCAAAGGGGCAAGGGGGCATTCCGCTCGCTTCGCTTGATTTATACGCCCGTAGTTCTCACTTTTCTAGGAGCTCCCGAAACCCCATCAGCTAATCGACGCGAAAAGCAGTGGGGATCGGTCGCCCACTCCACCCAATCGCGTCTCTTGCTTAGCGCGTCACTTAGCCAATAATAATCAAAAGTCTGAAAAAATTGGAAGAAGCTAGGTGAAACGGGCGACCGATTCCCCTTGTCCCTTGCGTCATTTAGTTTGTGCATAGTGTTTAATTTTCTCGTTTCCCTACATTACCCTCGGATTCTTAACGTTGTACTCTAATAACACGTTGCAAGCCTGCGAACATGAGACTAATATTGCACGAGCAAAACATGATTATTTCCAATTAGTTACTTTGTAGTGTCTAACATTTATGATGACCGTTTAAAAAAATCATACGTTATAACATAAATATAAAAACTATGTTTATAATACAGCACGTTTGCTGCACAATGTAATAAAATGTTAATCAAGAGATGCTAATTAGTAATTAGTAATTACAAATAATCATGTGTAAATGTGATTGTTCCGCCCGTGGTCGCGTAAATAATACACACACATTCCCACACAAAGCACAGGCACACGCATCTGATGTGCTCCTAGCCCAAAATGGCGACCATGGAGAGGGAGATGTGACGGGAGTCAGGGGGCGTTGCTTGTTTTTATTCGGCCGAACTCGAATCCCCCGTTTCGTGAAAATTCAGTATAGCGGTTAATTTGGGGCCGATATGGAGGAATCATTTCTGCCAATAAAGGAAACGCGTTCACCCTACTACAGTAATGTCTCCCTAACTGACACTCAGATTGTCCACAGAAATGGACAATTTGGGAAGAGGAGATGCGATTGTTCAAGCCTTTTGGCTCGTTTTTATAGTTACCGATTGCCAATAACTATAAAAACGAGGTGTAAAGTTCAAATAATCGTATCTTCTTTTCCCAAATTGTCCATTTTTGTGTTCAATCTGGGCGTCAGTTAGGGAGACATTACTGTACTGCGAGGACGTTAACATAAAATCGGTCCTACACTTTTCTCAGCTGACTTCTTCTGAACAACGGATAGTACATAGTTCGCAATAATTAATGTTTGTAAACGCTATTTCAGACGGAGGCAACTGCGGTAGAAGAATAAACAACTAAATACATCACGAAGATGAACGAACTTTAAAGTCGATTTTCTCGAAAATCGAAGCTCTGGATAAGAAATGTTATACCAAATTTGTTTCTTACTTTTTCTCGTAGAATCACCGTCTGTTCGGTTGTACTACGTATTCCAGTCCACCCTGTATGAACTATTCTATCCGTGGGTTCTATATACTTGAAGGATTAAGAAATGATCTTTAATATATTATATATAAGATACCTGAAATCATTAATAAATGAAATGATTGCTTTTTTCCATTCTTTTTCATTAAGCGCATTTTTTAATTCGTTTGCAATTTCATATTTGTTTCTAATGTATAATAGTTGATAGGTGAACACTCTTGTGAACTTGTTTAACTGTGGTTACGAGATTGCAACGGTTGCATTTGTCGAGGAACTAGAGGATTGTTTGGTCTGAATCGTTTAGATCACTTTATAGGGTGTTTTCACAGGTGTCGCTTCTTAAATAGAATTCAATTTATGGTCACGAAAAGAACGAAGTTACACAAGAGAAAATTATCTTGCAGTCTACTAAAATTATCTGAAATATTAGGACACAACAGTTTGTCAAAGAGCACGTCGCACTCGTATCGTAATAGGAAATTGGAGATAATCTTGAAAGCAACTTAAAAATCTAAGCGTTTTTAAAGTAGAAACATTTGGTAAATCCAAATTTTCTATATAACACCTATGTATGTATGGCTGCTTATGGACCGAATATGGCCTAAAGCTTACATAATAAATAAAAAATTAACAACGAATTTAAATAGATTCAATTTTCTGTAATGCGTGTAGTAAAAGTTGCACGATCTTCCTCGATGTTGAAAGAGAAACAACAAACCAAAATATTTTTGCTACATTGCGGCTAAAGGACATGATAAATAGATGTGTGAGTTCAAAATTACACCGAGACACAGAAGATTAAATTTCGTGGACTGAACACGGAAAGCAAATACTCGATCACAGTTCAGAGACAGTACTTCCCAAGGATCTCCAGATCATACACAATACAAGATTGTCAAAGATTGTAAACTATTCGCGACCTGTACCGCGCGACAATCTCGTCGTTGGAATCGCTAATTCGTGAGTCACGTGGAGTGATGCCTGATAAGTGGATATACCAGCGAACGAAAAAAAAGGTTCTACACGCTCAACCGATCTATAAATACACGCGATCTGTGGAACAAGTCAGGACGACGCGTCTCCAGA